CTGCAGGGCTTGGGCTGTGGGTGCCCGGCGATCTGATGATAGGTTCACCCGGCCGCGCTCGCCTCCCCAAGGCACAGTCCCGGGTCCCAGAGGCGGCGGCACAGCGCGGCTGATCGAGAGGGAGGAGGGCGGTGCGGGGAGGGCTCTGTGAGTCCCTTCTGCGCGCGGCACGCCTGGGGCCCCGGGGACCCCAAGACCAGAGCCTCTTCGTGCCCAGAAAGCCAGTTCAAGCCCCGGCAGAAAGGGAGAGGCTTGGGGAGGTCCGAAGGGAGGGCTGGGAAGGCGGTGGTCACCTGAGAGGGGCGCACGGCTGGTGTCCCCGACCCCAGGCTCACTCACTGCAGGCAGCCGGCACGCAGTAAGGGCTTTGGGATGGGGCGTGGCATCTGGCACACAATAGGTGCTCAGTAACCATTGAGCTGGCCGCTAAGGTACCTGTAACCTGAATGCTTCCTACTGTCCTTCAACACAGCCGCAACTCCTTCCGCAGAGGCTGTGTCTGCCAGCTTTCGCCCTGGACCTGCTGGGTGGGGGTTCTGACTTTGGAATCCGGAGATGGAATCCCTCCTGCCTTATTCTCTTTGGGTAACTTGGGGGAAGGGGAAGGTGGGTTAATTTAATCTGTCTGGACTCAGTTTCCACCACTGTAAGTGGCATTAATAATGGAACCCTACCTTCAAGGGGCCTTACAGGTATTTAAAAATCTATTTGTCAATAAAATGCTTAGAATGGAGGGAGGCACAAAGCTAAGTGCTCCGCGTCTCTCCCTTTTCCTTTTTCCTAGACCCCCTCCCCCTCAATGAGTCCTGGCCTCAGGGCCTTTGCACCTGCAGCAAGAGCGAACACTTGTTCCCTAGCTGTTCCCTCCCTTTGCTCTCCCATCCCCTTCAGAGTCACCAACCCCACCATCTCTTTCCAGAGGTTACAATTTCACCCTGTCCTTCCTATCACACCTTTCTTTTCTGACACATCAGAAATGATGATGTTGATGTGTTTATCCATTAGCCACCTGTGAGCTCTGAGAACCACTGTAAGTGGCATTAATAATGGAACCCTACCTTCAAGGGGCCTTACAGGTATTTAAAAATCTATTTGTCAATAAAATGCTTAGAATGGAGGGAGGCACAAAGCTAAGTGCTCCGCATCTCTCCTTTTTCCTTTTTCCTGGACCCCCTCCCCCCCAATGAGTCCTGGACTCAGGGCCTTTGCACCTGCAGCAAGAGCCCTGCTGCCCCATCATGGCCTCTGCTTCAGGCCTAGCTAGGCTGTCACCGCTGAGAGGTCTCCATGACCACCTGCTATCCCATTGGCACTATCACACGCCCTTTGGTCCCTTCCCGATCTCTATCCTGACCTGTACGTTCCTCCTTAGCATTCATTGTCTGGCTTTCATGAGAATGGGGACCGCATCTGCCCTGTTCTCTGCAGGTCCCCAGCACCTTGATCAGTGCCTGCCACGCAGTAGGTGCGCAGTAAACACCATAGAATGGATGAGCAGAGTCGCTTCTTCTGACGTGTACACTGAAGTAGTGGAATGGATCATCTCTAAGTGCCTGCTCCTGTGGTCCAAGACAATAAGTGAAATTGTCACCGTGGAAATAATATTTTCAAAATGAAAAAACGCATACAATGTTCTAAAGAGAAGTAGGTTCTCAAGAAGGGTGCAGACAGTTACTGGTAAAGACTTTCCTCGAGTCGCCATCTTTCTATCCTGACCAGTTTTGCCCATGAGTCCAGAGCCAACCTCTCTGAGCTCTCCCGATGGCTCCCTGGGAGCTGATGGAAGACCCTCTGGATTTCCTCCTGAATTGAGGGCCCAGGACCCCCCTAGGCATCCACACGACAGCACAGCAATGCCCACTGTTATGCCCTGCCATGTCCCCAGCCCCCTCCGGTGACGACATCCTGCGACAGTGGCCTTTTGTCCTCAGTTTCCCAGGCCAGAGCCTCCCTGCTCCTTTGATTTCCCTTCTTGGGCATTAATCACAGGTTCGCACCTGCTTTTCCTTCTCCTCAGAGCCAGCTGCTTTCGACTGGCTCCCGCTGGGCCTGCCAGACCATCCGATGGAGCCGGAGAGGCTGGGTGGGGCTGTCCCAGCGGCTCAGCTCCTGCTGGGGAGATGAGTCAACTGGCGAGGGGCACTGTGTCTCCCTGCCCTGGGGAGCCAGGCACAGGGTATTTTTGGAAGGCCTGGCCTGGCTGCCCATCTCATGCTATTTATTTCCTCAGTGAGGTCACTAGCAACAATGAGTATCTGGGACACGGAGACCATCCTTGGTGGCCCACTCCTGTTCTGGGGTCCTACCTTTAGGAGAGCATTTGGAGAATACCTCTGGCCATCAGGAGAACAAGCAATAAAAATACGCAAACTGTTCATGGATCCCAAACTTGTTGCCTTGGCGCCATTGGATGAGGCACAGTGATGGTGCCCGGGACAGACCTACAATAACAGCTAACATTGTTTAGTGCTTCCTGGGCGCCAGCAGCCGCTCTTGGTGTTTCATGTGTATTACATCACTTAAGGACATGCTCTATGAAATAGGTCCTATTGCCATCTCCTTTTATGCAGGAAATGGGCTCAGAGAAGACAGGGAGCTTGCCAAGGTTACACAGCCACCAGGAAGCGACAGGGTCTGGCCTTGGACCCGGAGCCTACACATTCTAACCGCCGCTCAGCATTGTTCCTCTGTCATAGTCTGCAAGCTGGAGAAGATGCCGCCTCGGCTCCCCGGGCACACAGCGGCAGAAGCAAACAGAGAAGGTAGGCGTGCAAGGCATCGGTACTGACTTATAGTGGTTCTTACTGTACACCAGGCCCTGTTCTAATTGCTTTACCCATTCATTAGCTCTTCAGATCCTCACAGCCCCCTAGGAGGTCGGAAGTAATGCATCTCCATCTTATAGATAAGACACGGGTCCAGCTGGTCCAGGGTCTCAGGGCTGGTTAGTGGCAGAGCTGGGATTGGAACCCACAGAGCCTCACTCCAGGGCCCGGGCTCGTACCCTGAGCCTGTGCAAGGCCTCTGCCTGATAGTCCTGGTGCCCACGTCCAGTCCTCAGGCACCCAAGAGTGCTGAGCCCCTTTGGTGTGACCCACACACCCTGTGCTTGGAGCCTCAGAGCTGCTGCTCGTGCACTGAAACCCTGGGGGAGTCTCCATTTCCTTATCTGTAAAATGGGCATAATGAGGCCAGCTCTCCCTGCCTCCCAGGAAGACCGTGTGAACAGCTGACCTCAGAAACACTCTGTGTGGCTTTTGCTGGGTGCTGGTCTGTGCTGGGCACCACCTTAAAGATCGGGGCGCACGGCCCATGAAAAATGAAGAGGTGATGATTTTCATTGCAAAACAAACAGCTATAAATGAAGTGTCTTATTTGATGATGCAGACGATTAGAGAATTAAGTCTTATGTCAAGAGGATTGTATGCAAAGGCCCCTGGGCCAGCATTCAGATGGTTGCATCCTTGGTAGGCTTGGTGCTTGGTGTCCTGTGTGCTTAACCCCAATGGGCAGCCCTGGAGGTGAGACAGACATGCACCCATTTTACAGGTTGAGAAACTGAGAGGCTAATGAATGGGGGAGCTGGGCTCCGAGGAAAGTGCAGCTGACTCTAGACCTGGCCTCTTGGCTGTAGCTCTGTAGGGGCCTGCCGCACACCTAGTGCATGGGGCTGCCTCCTCTCTTCCGGTTCTGACTTTGTGGCTCTAAGTGCACCTTTGTCTGAGTGTCCCCCGCCCTTGACCTTGGTACTTTTACATCCTTCACCCCGCCTCAGCCTTGGGCACAGGATACTTCCGTGTTGAGCGACTGAGGGCGATTCTGTACCCCCTCCACCCACCCACTCACCCACCAGCTTGCTGCTTTTAAGAGCAAAAGTCAACACCTGGGCCTTGTGTAAGGCGCAGGGCAAGGAGACATTCCCCCACTACCCCCCAGGCCCTCACCTGGGTGAAGCAGCACTTCCACAAGCCAGGGTGGCACGAGCACAGGCCATGTTGTCTTGGTTCCCCTTCATGGTCACCCCAGGCCTGCTTCTGGCCCCAGTAGCTGCATTTATTTTGGCTTAAATGACAGAGTGTTCAGAGATAGTAAACATCTGCCTTCATGAAGCCGTATCAGGTCATCGAGTGGAGTTGTAAAGGGGCTGTTGGCTGCCCGTGGGCTTGTAGCACCCACCCTCATGGGCTGGTGGGCTCTGCCATGGTGGTCCCGGGTTACAAGTGGCTGGTGACTCTATGGTGTGCCAACAAGGCTTTGGGAGGAGTCCTGCCCTCAGACCATGACTCCTGAGCACGAGGCTCAGCCGAGGCTGCACGTGGGGGCATGAAGATGAGGGAGACACGTTCCCTCTTTGCCTTGAACTCATGGGGTAGCCGAGGGGCAACTTCATGCTGAATGCAGGCAGGCATGGGAGGGAGCGGATGCCTCTGAGCTGGCACAGCCCCGGGACGGAGTCACTGTTCTCCACCTACCAGCTGGGGGGCCGTGGGCAGATTATGTACCTTCTCTGTGCTTCCATTCCTCATCCATAAAGCTGAGCTAATAGCTGGATGTAGCTCATGGGAAGACTACATTTCCCAACCTTCTTTGCAGTCATGAGCCCCATGTGACTGAGTTCTGACCAATGGAATGTGGCAGGAGTAATGTATGCTACTCGGCCTGGCCCCTAAAATCTCTTGTAAGATCTTTTATACTGATTTTCTCCTCTGCCTGCCGACTGAATGTCAGTGCTCAGGGTGATGAAGATGTGGGGGCTCTGCCAGCAGAACCCTGCTCTTTGTTGACTGTTCCCTATCGACCTGCCTTGGGCTTAGTTGTTACTGCAGCTAGCAGTTAGCCCATCAGACTAGTAGAACAGCTAGTCTGCTCTGTTTTAGGCTTTCTGTTATTTTATTACATTCTTCTTCCTAATGCTATGAGGTGGTTTTGAAGTAGCCCATGGTCCAGGTGAGGAAGTGGTGGTGTAGAGATGTCTGACCCAGGGTGCCAGAGCCCCGTGAGATGGCTTAGAGAGGCTAACTGGGGGGTCAATTCAATGGTAATAACAGCTAACTCTTCCTGAGCCCTCTGTGTGTGCTAGAGACCATGTCTCCAAAGTATTGGGGTGAATTAATTATTTCATTTAATTTTGATAATTTCCCTATAGAGTGGAGGTTCCTATTATTTCCATTTTACAGATGAGAAAACTAAGGGTCAGCGAGGTGAACTAACTCCTCTCCCCAAGGTTTCATGGGTGAAAAAGGTGGTGCCTGGGTTTGTACTGAAGTCTCTTCCTTTAGAGCTTTGTGTTTGCAGAGCCCCCTCCTACCCGTCAGAAGGTGCAATAGGGACCAGCTACTTCCTCGTGCAGGGGCCTGGCTTTTGGTGGGGAGCCACCCTGCGGCCGGTCGGGTTGACAGCCTTCTTGGGTCAACACCTACTTTGTGCAAAGTCTGACCCTACGCCCTGCTCTGAGGCCCAGAATATTCCAAGGTTGACACGCTGGTGGAGAAGAGAGTCATGTGGCTACCCCTGCAGCCTGAATGAGTCAGGGCTGTGGCACCGGGGATGCTGCAAACCTCAGAGGAGAAAGAGGGCACCCAGGTAGGGACAGGACCAGCTTTCTCCGGGAAGAGGAATTGCCATGACCTGTGTCTACCTGGATTGGAATCCCAGCCAGCTGAGTGGCCGTGGGGAAGTTACCTAACTTCTCTGAACCTCAGCTTAGCCATGTGTAAAATGGAGATAGTAAAGGCCCATAACTTATAGGAGTATCATGAGGATGAAATGATAACTTGTAAAGTGCTTGGGGCATCAGAAGCTCTATATTATATACTTACTTTCTCTTTTCATTACCAAGGGCTGGTGGACTTTCGATAGAAGAGAAGGGAGGCATAATGCATTGAGTGAATGCCATGAGCAAAGCTTGGGAGTTGAGAACACAGAGGGTTGAGAACAATGAGTAGCTCAGTGTGGCCGGTTCATAGGCAAGCAATGGAAGATGAGGCTAGAAAGAGAGGGGGGACCAGGTGGATGAGTATATGCTTAACTCAACAGGCAATGGGGAGCCATGGAGGGCTTTGGAGCAGGGCAGTGTCGTAGCCAGAGCTGGACTTTAGAAAGATCCCTTTGGCCACAGTGCAGGATGGACTCGAATGGGAGTTATGGGAAACGCCCAGTGGAAGGCTGTTGTCATTGGCCAGGGGAGAAGGTGGTGGCAGCGGACAGGCGGAAAGCGCGAATTGGCACTCACGGCGGGGGAGGTCCTGTGGGGCTTGGTGGGCTGTTAGCTGTGGGCTGCATGGGGCCTGTGCTACATGCACCCTTGGCCAGGGCCAGGCGGGCAGTGGTGCCCATGCAGGGCCAAGTGCGCGGCTGGGAACCCAGAGCGGGGCTTCCCTTTGCAGGCCCAGGCGTGGGATGTGGTCCCTCTGGGCATCACATCTTCACTGGTATGTTAGTGCCAAGAGAGAGACGAAAGACGAATGAGGGATGAGCCCCCACTTGGTCCCGAGAACTCAGGGCTCCTGGTGTCCTCAGGGTAAGCTCTTTGATGGTCTGAAAGCAGGTTCCAGAAGGCTCCCTTGGGAGGGAAAAGGGAGCTGCCTTTAAGGGGGGGGATGGGGGAGGATGGGTGGGTTCATCTAGGTTTTTGCAAAGCAAAGCAGACCGGCGAGAGCTGCCTGTCTGAGGCGTGTTTTATCTTAACCTTTCCGTGTAATCCTGAAAGCCCACCTAATCAATTGAAGATCATAAAATATTAGACTTAATGCTGCAAAGTGCTGCTTTTTAATTCACATAACAAGCTCCTAAATAATTCAAATAGCAAACAGACCCGGCAAGTCAATGGTGGGAGGCTGCCTGGATCAGCGGGAGAGTGTCAACACATGCCACATTTCCCGGATCGACTCATTTCAAGAACCCTATTAAGTTAATTGCCGGTTTCTGACAGCAGAGAGCATGCTGGGAGCACAGCAAGCTTTATTAGCCTCCGTGGCATCTGCAGACATCAGCCATTTTGCCCCTACTTGCAGGCACGGGGAGCAGCACGGAGAAAAGCAAATCAAATTACGAGACAATAAATGCTTTTGGCAACACGTGGGCGTCACGTTCGTCGGCGAATCCAAAAGGGTTCGAGTGTCCATTGTGGGCCCATTAAATTTTTTAATAGCAGCCCCATCTATGTGTTGCAAAAGTCTTACAGGAGGCCACCGGCAGTTACATCATTTGACACTGCGTGGCTGCTGCAGGCAAACATTAGTGCAAAGGCGAGTACCCTCATCTCCTAAAGAAACTACTGGGCGGCGTCTTTAATGGAACGGGAGTTGGGATGGACATTTAGAGAGGCCCCCAATAGTCCAGGTACCCCACATAGCCCAAATGCTACACATTCAGGTGTGTGAGCAGGCCTCTCTGGATTTGAAAACTCAATGGAGACACTCCACATGGCTCTGAAGATGGTCAGGGAAGGGAAGAGGTGAAGTCAAGGTCCCCAACCTCCTATCCATCCAGAGGTTCCCAAACAGGGCATTGTTTCATGGCTACCTGCCCTTCCCTGGGCCACCCTGGTATATATTGAGTATGGGGCCAGGCAGGGTCATCCTGGCAGCTTGGAGACCTACCCATGGGTACTGCTCTGCAGAATGGGGCTCTGATCTACCCAATGCCCACCATGGACACACGGGAAATACAAGCAGAGGGAGCTTCTGCGACTGCTCCAAGGCCGCACAGCCAGCCAGTGGCGGTTGTTGCTCGGACAAAGTCCTGTTCTGTTGCCTGGCAC